CAGTTCTACAGTTTGTTGCTGTTTTCAAGTCATGCTGCACAACCACTCCCAAGTCCTTGTACTCAGTGACCACTGGGAGAGTAATGCCATTCATTGAGTAATTGTGCACGTGACTATGAGATACATGCATAACTACACTCTTGCTTAAGTTAATCTCCAAGGCCCAGTGCTTACACCAATCACTTAACAAGTTTAAATCTTCCTGCAAAGCAAGTTGATCACTGTCATCGTGCAAAGCCCTCCATATCTTGATGTCATCAGCAAACAGTAAGCAGGATGACTTAACTACCGATGGAATCTCATTAACATAAATCAGGAAAAGAAGTGGGCCTAGAATTGTACCCTGAGGAACGCCACTCTTAACCGATTCCCATGTTGATAAAACCCCGTTAACTCGTACTCTTTGTCTTCTGTCCTTTAGAAAGTCTTGAATCCAGTCGGTAACCACTTTATTGATTCCCAGACTACCTAACTTTACTAGAAGACCTGAATGAGAAACCCTGTCAAACGCCTTGCTAAGGTCTATGAATATGGCATCCACCGGTATATTAGCATCAGCTGAGCTTGCCCAACTTTCTCTGGCCAAAAGAAGGTTGGTCAAGCAAGAATGACCTGCTCTAAAACCGTGCTGTTCCACAGCGAAAAGTTTGTTCCCTTCAATGAACTGAATGATAGCATCACGAATTATTCTTTCTAGTAGTTTAACAACAATACTGGTCAAACTAACAGGACGATAGTTCTGAACTAAGTTTCTAGATCCGGTTTTGAAGACCGGACTAATGATGGCATCTTCCCGGGCTAAAAGATCCGATTTCCAGAATATAATAAGAAGTATTGCAGTATGTAATTTCATATTTCAACGTCATTAAATCAAAGTCCATCAGTCAAATTAATCACGACACGGGGTTGAGCAGGGTGATAAATGTTGTTATTCAGACTCGCCTGCACGAACTATGAGACACTGAAACAACGGATATGCTATGAAGCAGATGAAATTTGTGATAAATAAAATAAAGTAATTCTGAAAAAATATATTAAAAATTTCACCAGTTGTTTTTTTCTTTTATTAACATAAGATAAATCAGCTGGGCACAATTCCTAAAGTAAGCTTTTATTGACTTCTAACTCACAAAATATCACTTCTTTGAATATAAATAGACGTATATATCTTCTTACTTACCAATATAAACTAAGTGTTAGGGTTCTAGGGGTAGTAGAATTTTCCATATGTCCGGGATAGGTGTTGATTCATTCCTATTACCCGTGTTTGCAGTTGATTTAACAATTAAAGCTTCCATTATCAGTCTCTGAATCCACGCCCTTATGTTAGATTTTAGAACTGTCATCTTATCCCATTCTATTGTATGGTTGTGTGTAATTCCATGTAGTGCTATCGATGGCTGAACTATTCTCTAGATTTCTTATATTATTTGGGTCAACCAATCTAGATTTTGCTAGGTTTTTATGCTCCGGTGGTCTAACTGCCCCTGTTCTACTACTTTGACCTATGTATTTGACCTGACGGTCATTGCAGGGAAGTAGGTAAACTAAATCGTTATATCTAATTGCCTACACAGGATCCTTTAACTGACGAAGCTTGTTTCTGAATGAGTTTGTGGGTTTGAATGTCAGCCACTTTTATTCCTGCCTGCATTGTTAAAAATTCTGCGTAAGGTTTCCGTGGTTCCTCCTTTGTATGCAATTACTACTGGTAATTTAGATTCTTTATTGTTGATGTCATTATTTTGCGAATGTTTGTTTGTAAATTCTACTACCCCAAATACCAATAGAAAAGAATAAGGAAAACTATAAAACAAAAGTATTGAAGTTGTATAGTCATAATTGATATGTTTATGAACAATAAATTGTGTTGTGAACATCATCCAATAAACAATACTGTCTCACTGTGTGATATATGCTCAACAAATTGATGTGGAGTTGCATTACGTTTTGACTTTACAGAATCTCATTGGTGATACCGACTAAGTAAGCGCAGCAGATAAGTGAACGATGAAGGATAACATTTCACTGAACTGTATTTTGGTCGCTTACTTATTATTTCCTTTTACCACGAGAATTTATTCATTGATGATTGTATTTTAGAGATTAACTTTATGTCGATAAGTGCTGAATGAGGCTAGGGATAGTTTTTGAGAATTTCTGTTAAATCCGAAAAATCTGCGCAGTGACTTCATGTCATTTCTAAGGACATTTCATGGTAAACCTGAGAATATTTTTAATTAACAGGGACTTGATGCTAAGCAGTGTGTTGTCACTAAGTATTATGCATGAGCCTTACATGTTTTCAATAAATTGAATCCAACCACTTTTCATGTAAATGACTTGCATTCATCCGAGCTTACTACATAAATATAGGCGAGGAAGATCGCATGGTTTTCACCAGATGCATCGGGTATGGAGATCCTTGGGAAAGCTAAGATTACCTTAGCTGAAAAAAAGGGGCCTTATGTTACTGAGCTTTATTGGGTCGTGTTGGCATAATACCGTTATAATTTAATCGGAAGGTTAAGGTATGAAGATCGACTGACTCCTTATAAGTATTTGCATGAATATATACTGAGCTTGTGCTAAGCTTTCAGCTGTTAAAATACTCATCTTGTAGTTAACGAACTTAATTTCTATAGATGGAATCTCCTGCCGTTATCATTATATCTAGCCTTTAAGAATTAATACGTTTTCTACTTTGGATACCTAAGTACTTTAGCAACAACTAAATCTGTAAAACAGTTTCTCTCCTGATTGTGTTTTTAAAATAAGTATACTGATCATGTGAATGTGCTTAATCATTTGCATAAAACTATTACAACAAAAACTAATAATAATACAGAATGACCCTCAGCGTCACGTATAAATATATCATACCTGAGTAAAACCGTTATTTATATGTCCTTTATTTGCATACTTTTTCCCAGTTTCTCCATTTCTGTTTTAATTCACCATAGATGTACTAGTGAAAATGACCTTAATCGAATTTAGCGACTTAGTGGTTGACTTGTCACCTTGGAAAAGTCTCCTTGAGGTAGATTTCGCATGTGATATAGTCCTTTCAGTTGAAAATACTGACATAATACAGAAATTTCTAAATCAGGACTCTTAATACGTTTGGTATGCAGTTCTAACCTTCTGAATGCAGAGTGATACTTCAGGACCAGTTTTCAACTACTAATGGTTTCAGTATAAGGAGTGAAATGGTCGGTCGTGCTGAACACTTCACTTATTTTGGAAATTGCATCAGCCGTGATGGACTGGTCGAGAGCAAAATCTTAGCGTAGGCAGGAAAGGCTTGTGTGGCATTTGTTATGGAGTGGATGACATATCCTCCCATCAACCAAGGGATGTATATACTGCTCAGAAGTTTCCACATCTTTCATTTTGGGCGTGCACGTATCCACTGGCATTTTTTGCCCTACTCCGTTAATTGGTGTAACATAGCGAATAATATTGTGGTTATGCATAGTGTTAAATGGGTAGGGAAGGGAAATAAGTTGAGTGATGCAGCTACATCGACGATGAAAACGCAGACGCATGCGCTCTCTATAATCTCTTAGATCGATGAAATCGTCATGCTTTCCCATGAAACCATACATTTCTGTTCATTATAGTTCTTTTTAATAATTATTACATCTTTATTTACAATGAATTGCATGTTTTTACGAAACGCATGATTTGATCACAATAGCGACCCAAAAAATTAGTTTACAGGTATATCATTCTGATATTAAATACGCTTCAATAATGTGGTTATAAAATACCCAATATTTCAAGACATAACAGTTTATAGGTTGATCAAAAATGCCTGCTGACATTAGAATGTATTTTTCGAACTAGGCTTGACCTTTAAAATTTTTTTCATGATGTCATTGTGCTTTCATCAATTAGGCATAAAATATTCTGTCACCGGAAGTATGTTTTACATTCAAAGAACTAAATACCTTATTAATCGAGGCAGCTCCAACGTGAAATAACAGTATGTATTGTCATTATGTCACATCTATCGCAATTAAATTGAACCTAGAAAATTGTGACACTTAGCGTGGATTTAAGAATTTCAAATTCTGTTTCCTTACTACTGACTTCAATAACGTTGTTATACAGTTGATGATGACATAATTAATATGGTGTATGCGTTATTAACGCCTGCTTATTATCAGGCAGAGCGTATGAATCCTCATCAATTTCTCACCATTCTAGTTGAAATTCGTCAACCTAAACACCCTTCAGCAATGCGTTGATTAGTAAAATTGGGTCCCAGGTTTTGTAGAAATCTAATGAGAACTTTTCCATTCTTCTTGAACAGATGTGCTCAATGCCTTTCAAACTTTTTACTACACTTCGTTACATTTGTGTCGCTAGGATTAATATTTCCTTTCGCTAATTATCTCCCATATGTGAATAGAATGAATGACTTTCTTTTAGTCAAGCTAATCGTTTAGATTAGCTTTTTATAGGGACACATGCCTAGAGACTTTCTGAGTAATCAGTAGACAAAGAAAAAAATACTTCTTAACGTGGTTATAAAATGTGCAACAGAATTGTTTGACCATTATACATTTAACATAGGGTTTCTTGATGCAAAAGTATCAAATTATGACAAGCAGAAATATCCCCGTTGAATCAGGATCGGAAGTCTACTTGTGAGAGTCAGAGCAAACAGATAACTCAGTGGAAAAATATAAGATTACTCGGTGGTCATTAAAGAATTGAAAACGCTGATAAATTCAAATGTAACCAGAAAAAGGTTGCTTACGGAATGAAAATTCAGAAGCAAATTTGCCAAAACATAAAGCACACATGATACAATTCTTCTTAAGAAGCTGAACACTGATAAAGTTAGTAAGAAAAGATGGTGAGGTCGTTTTCTTGCCAGAATATGAAAACTTTAATCACCAAACACTTTACAAAGCACACAGAATGGATTCTGCAATTATTGTGTTTTAAAGATGCATTCTACAGAATAATGAAAAAAATTCTCTTGACATCTATGCATCATCTGTTTCATCAGAAGTTAAACAAAATGTACACAGAAAGATTAAGGCCATAGTTACAACAGCTACGATTACGACAATAGATGTCACAACATGATCCCTGTCTTCCACAGTACAACGTGACTCTGTTTTTGGACAAAAAACACAATACGACAAATATTTAAGTTATAAATCAATATATTGAAAATATTTAACACAATAATAGACTCCTGTATAATAATGATACAAAGATTCATATCAGTTTGCTTTATTGATCTATTAACCATATATCACTTTTTTTCCTTCACGTTCCTAGTGGAACATAGGGCCTCAAGCTAGTGGCTTGAACTTTCTGTAGCAGTGTTTATTTTCACAGGATGGGATTGCTAGCCTCATGCCCAACCTTTCCTCTTTACCAGCATTATTTCTGGCTTAGTAAGGTAGAGGAGTGCGTCGGCCGGGGATCGAACTCCGGACAATGTGCATGGTCGGCGAGCGTTCTAACCGCTGTACCACCGACGCCCATATATCATCATAGGAAAATATAGCTTTATAATGCTATGTTTAATCTGAGTTTGGATGGCATCAACTATAATTGGTTTGAAATAGTTCTTTATGTGAACCAGAGTGATTTTTAACACCAAGAAAACTGTGAATGACAAGCGTACAAATATATATGAAAGTTACAGACTGTTTTTAGTATTAAACAATGATTTACTAGTAGTACAATGCATTTATATCTTTGTGAACACCCAGCTAATGAGTACTCACTTATGGTAATGTGTCATGGAAAAACTAAAGCATACGTCTCGGGTAATAAAAACATTAAACAGGGAAATATATAAAGTTAATCATTTTGCATATTTAAAATTTTTCAGCTATTAGAATTATAAAGTAAACACCGATATGTGTGACGAGACTTCCCTCTGTTCATGGTGTAATAAATATATAAAAACTCCGCTTAGTTGCACATCATTAAAAGAATGTATATGTATACTTCAACAGGACCTTTAGCACATAATACTGCTTTCCATAGGTAGGATAATGAACTCCACTCTTTTTAAACTATGCGGAGCATATTACTTTATGAAGAGCGAAGATGCGCAAAAATGTCTAATTCCATTGAAAATTCCTGACTGCATATGCCACGATTCGTGTAAAGTATAAATCAATGCAAGTACAGAGATTTAAGAAAACATAAACAGAAGCAACAAGTTTACTTTGATAAGACACAAATGTTTTCAAACTACATAGAATGAGTATAATTTCGCTGTCAAAGTAGATTGCATGTTTTTGCTTGTTTTTGGGTGCGTACAAATAAGAATCAGAGGGCTATAGCTTCCATGAAAGCCCTTGAGATCAATCTGTACGTGTTATATCATGACGTCAAAAAACCTTGTTTCTACACTTCAAGGTTTTCGTAAACTTCTTACCTCACAGAGAATACAACTGATTCTTACGTAAACAATACGTTCACTTTGAAACATTGATAGATACTTCACTCAGAAAGTTTTGTTTACTTTGAAAAGGATTGAAATAGATTCTTTTCATATCAATAATATTTTGTTTGCAAGCTAAACTACAACATGTAAAATAGCAACTGAAGACAAATTAATAGGGTTAGTTAACTGATTTGAAAGCTGATGGTAAACTTCAGTCTGATTATAAGCCTTTGTACCCATTATATTTTGTGGAAATTACTTCAACTCCTTTTTTTCTTGTGATTATAGGACACCAATATGAAAGTGATCAGAATATGTAGCTGAAAAAAGTGACCTAGTTGTTTCCAGGGAATACGCAATACACAAAACCGATCATTTATTACAGAAATGAAACGGATTATGTATATTAATCATTTCAAACGAACACTCAAGTAAAAACAGGTTAATCTTTTGTATTTCCCAATGAATGGAAAACAAAACGATATTGTTTTTACTGACGTTTCGCTTTTTTAATGCCAAAAGCTTTATCAAAGTATTATTAAACCAGAATTTACAAAATCTCAGCTTATATATAACAACTTAATCATCGTTCCTCAGCATTGGGTCATTTTTCCGTTGTCAAATTGGCCAATTGGTAAAGATAACAAAACCAGATGTAGATTGTTGGATTTGATAAGTGTGTAAAATTTAAAAGCAGCGCATGTTTACATAATGAAATTGCTTACCACATTCGTGTTGATTTTGTCATTTCATGAGGGAGGGAAGTGTTGTAACCAGGTAGAATTCTGTTTTAGTCCACCACTCCTATTCAAACAATTTGGATTCCACTTGATATGAAGTGCTTCTGATATTAGACGTTCTTTGTGATTTCTGAAATTTCTCCGGATTATTTCAATATTGTCTAAATCAATTTTGTGGCCTGATTCTATAGCGTGTAGACCTATGGATGATGATTTTTCAGGCTTTTATAGTTCAACTGGACTACTCAGCGGTCGAACAGATGCTCTACGATGTTCATTTCTTCTGATTCCCTTGATTTCTTGAGATGTTTGTCCGATGTATATCGCATCACATTCCAAGTATTTTATTTTATAGACACAATTAGATAGAGGATCGTTAGGGATTCGGTCTTTTATATGGACAAGGTTGTTTCGCAGTGTGTCTGATGTTTTAAAGAAAACTCTTATGTCTAGCTGATTGAGTACTCTTTTGATATCGTCTGACGTCTCTGCTCTATTTCGAATGACGACTGCTGACGTCCATGTTTTCGGAATGCGTTTTTGGCCATACTTAATGTCTGTGTTGTTTATGTTGATGAAGTTCCTTGCGTAGTTGTTTTGCTTGAGAGTTTCAGTAATGTTTGATATTTCTTCTTCTTTTTCTTTCTTATCCTCTATCAAAGAGTGTGCTCGTCTAAGAATACTTGAAACAACTGATACCCTTGCGCTGATGGGTGTGATGACCCGAGGTCTAAATATTTATTGGGGTGGGTTTTCTTCCTGAATACAAATATACTAAAATGTCCGTTTTCCCTTCTCTTAATTAGTCAGTCTAGAAATGGTAGTTCACTGACGTCTGATTCTACTTCCAAAGTAAACTGGATTCTGGGAGACAGATTGTTTAGTTTCTCCAACAAAGAACTGTGTAGATCTGGTTTTAGCACTATAAATTTATCATCTACATATCTTAAACATATTTTAGGAGGGAGTATGCTTCAAAAGATGTTAGTTTTGGATCTGTTCATGAAAAGGTCAGCGACTAATGGGGAAACTGGTGAACTCATAGCAACACCATCTGTCTATCTACATAAATTCATTTTAAGTGTAAAGTAAATCTTTTCCATATTAAATTTTAGGCTGTTAGTTATTTCACTGGTGTCCATTGGACTTCTTTGTGATAGCATTGTATCTAATTCTAGTAAACTGTAAATGATATCGAGACTTTCGGTAATAGGAATACTAGTATATGTATCAGATATATATATCATAGCTTACCATAACGTCTTCTTTATCGATTTCACGGTGTTCTATTTGGGTTTGGAAATCATATGAATCTATCACAATATTTTGAATGTCTTTTTACAGTGGCTGTAGTAGCAACAATAAGTACTAAGAGAGGTTTTATGTCGGTGAGTTGGTGAAATCTATTAGTGGATTTAACGGAACTGTGGTTTTATCCATCTTTGGTTGACCGTGGAATCTTTGGTTTTAGTTTAAACCAGAGAGAATTTCCAATTTCGGGTTTCATTTCTTGAAGGAGTCTGTTTTATCCAGTCTCATTCTGTTGAATTCAGCAGATCTTCTCTTTTCTTCAATGAGTAAGTATGATCCTTCAGATAGGTGTTCAATCGCCTTCTTTTCATAATTCGTCCTGTTCTTTATCACAGTGACGTTTCCCATGTCGGCTTTCGTTATAACGATGCTTCTGTCTTTCTTCAAATTTCCTAAGGATTCACATTCTTGTTTGGTGAGATTAGATGGTATGTTCCGTTGTGTCATTAATATATATGATACCTTTTGATGTACAGATTGTGTTACTTCATTGATTGTAAAGTAGGTTCGATCATAGGTGCTATTTCCTGGACTGATAATGGCTTAGTAGTGATATTGATCTTCAAACGTTACTGTAGTAATGAGAATTCATTTTCCAGAGTACTCAATCAGCTCGACATAAGAGTTTTCTTTAAAACATCAGACACACTGCGAAACAACCTTGTCCATATAAAAGACCGAATCCCTAACGATCCTCTATCTAATTGTGTCTATAAAATAAAATACTTGGAATGTGATGCGATATACATCGGACAAACATCTCAAGAAATCAAGGGAATCAGAAGAAATGAACATCGTAGAGCATCTGTTCGACCGCTGAGTAGTCCAGTTGAACTATAAAAGCCTGAAAAATCATCATCCATAGGTCTACACGCTATAGAATCAGGCCACAAAATTGATTTAGACAATATTGAAATAATCCGGAGAAATTTCAGAAATCACAAAGAACGTCTAATATCAGAAGCACTTCATATCAAGTGGAATCCAAATTGTTTGAATAGGAGTGGTGGACTAAAACAGAATTCTACCTGGTTACAACACTTCCCTCCCTCATGAAATGACAAAATCAACACGAATGTGGTAAGCAATTTCATTATGTAAACATGCGCTGCTTTTAAAATTTTACACACTTATCAAATCCAACAATCTACATCTGGTTTTGTTATCTTTACCAATTGGCCAATTTGACAACGGAAAAATGACCCAATGCTGAGGAACGATGATTAAGTTGTTATATATAAGCTGAGATTTTGTAAATTCTGGTTTAATAATACTTTGATAAAGCTTTTGGCATTAAAAAAGCGAAACGTCAGTAAAAACAATATCGTTTTGTTTTCCATTCATTGGGAAATTTTAATAAACTTTATTATAATGAATTTCATATTCACAATGCTCAAATGTTTTCAAACTATTAAAAATGAACGTGGTTTGTATATATGTGTATATGTATATTACTTTTTTTTTCCCTTCGCGTTCCTAGTGGAACATAGGGCCTCAAGCTAGTGGCTTGAACTTTCTGTAGCAGTGTTTATTTTCACAGGATGGGATTGCTAGCCTCATGCCCAACCTTTCCTCTTTACCAGCATTATTTTTGGCTTAGTAAGGTAGAGGAGTGCGTCGGCCGGGGATCGAACTCCGGACAATGTGCATGGTCGGCGAGCGTTCTAACCGCTGTACCCTCGACGCTTGTAGGATTTTCTTAGAAACCTTTATTTTAAGGCTTAGATATCTTTGTGTTGATTAAATCATCATCTCCTAGTTGTTTCTTCATTCATTCTGAATATTGTGAATTGTTTGTAAGTTTACTTTTACCAGTTGTCTTATAGAAACAAGTGAATGTGTTAGTGAATTTCGTGTTAAAATAAAATATACCTTATTCATGATAAATTTCATGTCTAGGCCTAAATTTATTCCAGGGATCAACAGTTTGTGAAGCGAATTAATAAAACTGAATGAAACAGCTGTCTGATGAAAAGAGCGGATTTCAATGACTATTTCAATATTGTTCAGATAGTCCGTATAACATTTATAGAAAAGGGATTCTGACTTATATAATTGTATCAGATACACAAACTGAACTTTCATAAAAGCTTACTTACAAGAATCAAGCGTTCAAACATGAATGCGTATTGCATATTTAGTAATCTTAGAAAACATACCGGTTCCAACAAAGTTAGTTTCTTTACTACTTCTGAATGCTTCTACTTGAAAAGTCTCAAATATCATTCGTACCATACCATCTTGTGCATTATTTGAGAATAGTTCTATCTTCTGTTGTTTAGTACAATTGTAGTAACTTCCTACTGGAATGCTAAAAACTTCCTTATTTGATTTTGTAGCTACATAACCTGAAAACGGTATAATATGAACAGGTTACTATAATCAGAGAGGTATAATGTGATAAATATAAAACAGATGAGAGTGAAAACTACTAGTATTGGATTATTTTCCTGAAATTTATTTTATTTCTGTAAAATTACTTTACATTTAACATTAGGTAGTTATTATCCATTCACTATATGCATTTTAGAATCGACAAATTTTTAAATTGTAGAGACTACATTTCAGTGTCTACCCATGGTTTATAGTTTGAAGTAAAATTTACCATTCAAAATTACCAACCAAGTGGAAGCTGAGTTTCGTTGTGCAAAAAAAAAATGCTGAGAATTCCATTCTGTATCACAAGTACTGATTTGGAATAAAGCTTATCTTATCTTAAATAAATGTTTCATATCTCGCCCCAAGTGTTTATCAGCTTCTGATATATCTCTAAATGTTGCTTACTCTCATTCTCCATTTCGATAAATGTTCGCGGTTATTACACTCAGATTACCGTACTCATATTTTTCTGTTATTTTAGATTTTTTTTTGATTTTACAGCTTGATTCCACACTGTATTTTTGGTACTAGTATGGAATTTTCAGCATGGATATCGGTAGCCCAAATTTTGCAGGCCGACCATAGATATCAAGTGTGCGTCGGAGTGGGCTCGAACCCCGGACCATGTGCATGGTCGGCGAGAGTAAAAACACAGTTTTTGTTCAGCGAAGAAATTTCTTTTCAACGACTTCATTTTCAAGCTGTACAGTCGTATTTATATTACAGAAAAAGATTACTAAGTGGCACTGAATAATTACTCAGTCAATGTATGTATATATGTGATAAAAGTTATAAGGGGTAGAGTTGAAGTGGATAAATTACAAAAATATTAAAGATTGTTTTATAACAAAAATGTCAAGTGTTGTCTAAAAATTCTGAAAATTAGGAGTACGATTACGATAAAAATGAAGATGTGAAGTGAAGTGAAATGGAAAGATTTCAAGTGGTAAAATAAAATAAAAACTAGAAAGAACATTATTATGACCAAGGTAAAGAAAGGGGTTTGACAAAACGCTTTTGAACACATAATTTAGGTTTCTGTTCATGTATAGCTAAAGCTTCGGCTATGCATAAGTGAAGAAAACGTAAACTTTCGGATCGATTCGATTCTGCCATGTATATAACTTTGAAAGATGAATCACGTGGGGCTAAATGACCAGACTCTAACAGGTGATCACAAATAGACGACTTTGCAGTTCTACGTTCGCCTTTCATTAACCAAACTGGATAGTGTTCAGCTACACGTTTTCGGAGATTACGCTAACAACGTCCAATATAAACAGCTCCACAAGAGCAGGTAAAAGAGTAAATGCACATAGATGTGGACAAAAGCGGTAATCTATCCTTGACGCATTGTCTAATCATATTTCGGCTGGTAAAAACTAGATACAAGTCAGCTGCAGGAAAAGTACGTTTAATACATTTAGATAAACGATTTTTAATCAATTCTGAAGTGGTGTCACCTTTGAATGCAAGACTCATAAACATTTTTTCCTTGGTACTATGACTTGCCTCGGGGCGGATTCTTTCTTGATGTTACGTTCAATGAACCTTGTGGGATAACCATTGTTAAGGAGATTTGATCGAAGGTTATCTAGTTCCCTATCGATTGTCTCTGGAGAGCAGATTTTACGAACTCTGGAGCATAAGGAATGAATAAGATTTCTCCTTCTCCTTAGAAGTACCCAACTGTTGAAGTTAGTGTACTGCCCAGTGAATGTTTGCTTTCGGTAAATCGACCTTAACAGCGTTCCGTTCTCTCTTCTATCTAGCTTAACATCAAGGAAGTGAAACGAAGAATCCGACTCTTCTTCGATCGTGAAAAGCAATTATTTAGTGCCACTTAATAACCTTTTTCTGTAATATAAATACAACTGTACAGCTTGAAAATGAAGTCGTTGAAAAGAAATTTCTTCGCTGAACAAAAACTGTGTTTTTGCCTATGAATAAATGGGTGTTTTTCGAGATCAAGGTTTTCACCTATTTTCAGATTCATAATCCACGATTCTGCGCTCCAACTTGAGTCGAGTGATCATGTGTGGTATCAGCATTAGCTTATCAATCTGAAAACATCCTAAATGAGCACGCAAACTTTCGTTCCCAGCAGTTGGATGAAATTTCGTTTGAGATGAAATAATATGAAAATATGTGAATAGATTGGTGTATCTTATATTAGACCTGATTTTTAATTAGAAAAATGTATGGGAGATAATATGCACTTCCAAAAGTCTTTTTACACTTCCTTTTTTCCTACTTCACTGCCTAGCAGGACAAGATGGAATCCCAGCAGAAGCATTGAAAATGGATCCAGGAACAACGGCGGACTTGATGACACCACTACTGGAGAAGGTGTGGAAAGAGGGCAAAGTACCCAAGGATTGGAAAAAAGGATACTTATTCAAACTACCAAAGAAAGGAGACTTAAATCAATGCAAAAACTGGCGCGGAATTATGCTCCTGTCCATCCCAAGCAAAATACTAAGCCATAACATCCTGGAGAGAATCAAACAAGCCAACCTGGATGAAAAACTTCGACCGGAACAGGCCAGATTCAGGGGAAACAAATCATGTATTGGTCAAATCGTCACTCTACGGATCATCATTGGACAGAGCTTGAAATTGCAGTCAGTCACCTCTCTATCTCAACTTCATCGATTATGAAAAGGCCTTCGACAGCGTCGATCGAGAGGTGATTTGGCAAATACTTCGCTACTAAAGAGTGCCTCCGATAATTACAGATATCATCCAACAATTGTACGACAATGGTGCATGCCAAGTAATCCATACTGGGAAACTTACGGAATCCTTCGAAGTGAAGACGGGAGTAAGACAAGCTGGCTGTCTACTATCGCCAATGATTTTCCTGATTGCGGTAGACTGGCAACAGGCAGGCATACAATAGACCCATACAAAAAGCTTAGAGAATCTGGATTTCGCCAATAATATATGTCTGATTTCCTACAAACCGGATGATACGCAAGTGAAAAGCAACAAGTTGGCAGAAGAAGCATCCAGAGAAGACAGACCTTCAGGTGAATATAGAGAAAACAGAGGTGATGAAGATTCATGGTCAACAGCAACAACGACAAACAGCATAAACGAGAGAAATCTGAAAGAAGCGACCTCCTTTACCTACCTACTGACCTGAGAAGCATCGTTTCAACTACAGGCAGATGGAACTGATGAGGATATCAAAGCGAGGACGGGAACTGCAAGGCAAGCTTTCATTTCTCTCAAGTCTGTGTGGAGGTTAACAGCACTCATCATGAAAAATAAGATCCAGAATTTCAACTTCTTTGTGAAGTCACTGCTACTATACGGATTAGACACTTTAAGTCGTGTCACGAAGGGCACTCTGAGCAAAATACAGAACATCATAAGCAGCTGTCTACGCTCAATGCTCAAGATCAGATGGCCAGAAAAGATCAGCAACAGGGATCTCTGAGAGCGAACCAACCAGGAACCGATTATGCAATAAGCAGAAGAAATGGAGGTGGACTAACCATACTCTGAGAAAAAAGCCATCAAGTGACATCACTAGACAAGCCATTGCTCGAGTGGAACCCGAAAGGGAAGTGGTGAGTCGGTCGTCCAAGGGTGACTTAGAGGAGGTCATGCGAAGGGGAGATGAGAGCATGTGGACAGACTTGGAGAGGGGTGAAAACGTTGACAGAGAACCGAACGCCATGAAGACGCACGGCTGAAGCCCTATGTTCCTCTAGGAATTAAAGGAAATAATAATAATACTTCACTGCGTTAAGCGTGGTTGATAACTCCACATCAATATATCTTCTTAGCCTCAATAGTTTGTCTATATTTAGTAATGAAGATAGTACGTTTAATCTCAGCATCATAAGTTTGGTTGTCTTACCAAGTTTATGTGCTCCCATAGGTTAACATTAATATCCTGAGCAAGTTATCAGTATCTGGACTAATCAGCGATGATTCATAAAGGATTCAGATATGTTGTTGTTTTCTAATATCCATAAGTTCTCATGTCAAATTTGTGCTGGTGAACTTTATTTATTGTTCTCGATATATATTTGAGATATATTTCATCTTCTTGTCTACGTCACCATTATTAATCTTCCTTTACCCTCCAGTTTTGTCATTCAGGTACTGAGAGACTCTATAAGTGTCATTATTCTTTACTGTAATTTTTGAAGATGTCAACTACTGCAACATTATTCAAGGCTATCACTCGAAATTTTGAGTGTTTATGATAAGAATTAACGAATATTAAGCGAAAAATCTATTTTAATCTAAGCGAAAAATTTATTTTATTCACAAGAATCTTATTTGTATATCACGCATAAAAATATAGCAAACTTCTTATTGTTCTTATGCTGTATGTCAACTTGTATAATTTATATGAAATTATATGTAAGTAAAGTGATTTGTTTGTGTACACTTACTTCCATTTTTACGATAATCAAGATCAATTGAATCCAGTGAGTAGTAACCACCAGTAAATAAATGGAATATGAAGGAAATAGTCCATAAAACGCCATCATTATGATCCCATGTAATATATAATATTGCTCGTGTATCTTCGCAAAAACCATCTACATTTGTTGTATTAACATCGCCTGAGTTTACGGTGGTGCTGATGTTTCTCCTGGAATCCTACAAACATGGCCAACATAAGAGTAGCTTAGTTGAAAAGCTTGCAACCAGTACAGACAGTTCTCATTTACACTATGCACAGTATGCTGTACGGTTACTGTGTTCTGTGAAAAAATTAAAGTTCTCGAGCGGTTTCAGAAATCATTTCGTTCACATGTAGAAATGAAGACTAAGACACCGTTTGAAGGTGGATTATCTTTATAATCAGATCTGTAAGAAAAATCAGGTTTTCTAAAAAGACATTTATGTGATTTGATCTAGTTAAGAACTCATGAAGAATAGTATTTACATAGTATTCTGTAAAAACTAGATGTTATGACAACTTCCACTTTTTTGTCCAGTCGTCTTCCCTGATGTCTCAGTCATAAAATGAGGTAATTAACTGTTTCATGTACTACTACATAGTTTGCATTTCAGCTTATGACGACATTTTCAGAATACTGACCAGTTTACTAATCTAGAGATAGACTGTTTATATATGAAAAATAATATACGTGAACTTATCGAAATCAACCTGGTTTTCTGTATGCATTTATGTCCTAAGACATATTTTCAACAAGGACAGGGAATTTACTTAAATATTAGGGGTTAGTATAAAATAACAGTTTTAGTGTTCAGGCACTTAAGAATCAAAAATGAACAGAAGCTTGTAGTCTTTTGCAAAAACGGGACTCAGGACGAATATTTTACGGTGCAAAATATTTCAGTTTGGTAGTTAAAATTAAGACAGCGGTCATTCACGTATATAAAAACACTAGCATTTCCATTAAAAATATGAATTCTTGTTAAATAAATGGGCTTAACATGTAAATTTGTCCTTATAAAGTATATTTTCACATATTTTCCCAATAAAAACTGGTAACAGTAGCATTACGTAAGTCGGGGGAGACAAAAGAGTCAAGATAACCATTCAGTTTTAAGACACCAACTTAAGTCACAGTTACAAATGATATGATTATTTGATCAACTAAGAATTAGGGAGTTAATAAACTAAGCGGTAACTAATATCATGCATCTAGTCCCTCGTTTGATGTAAACTGAATTCTCTCTATTAAACTATCAAATAAACAATGTCTGAGTCTACTAGTTGACATAAGCTCAGATGACTTAGAATACAATCCTATTGATTAAGTGCAATATACATGCATATGTACTTGGTTTTTACAGATGCTATTAATCCTTGTTTTGTTTAACACACCATTATAATGAATAATAATTAAATTTCAATCGACTGGTAATTATGATTCTAGTTACTATAAATATTTATGCGTGTAAATATTTGATGCAATCAACTGATGTTTACATTTGAGGAACAATAAAAAATTTCAAAATGTAGCATCGAAAACCATCTCTTGAAATTACCAATTATCGAATATTTCTGTCTAAGTATTCCAGTTAGTATATATGTCAACAAGACAAAAATCTTATACATGTATATCTCTTATGAACTTTTCTAACAGGCTATTTTAAGTTATCCGCTAAGCGAAAATGAGTGTTTCATACACACTTCCACTATAATAATTCTAGCCGAGATATTGGAGAACGCATTTCCATACCTAATTTCTTCCACATAAAATATCTATTTAAGCAAAATTTGTTGATTTCATTAATTTCAGTAGCAGTTATTAGCTTTAAACCCTGCAAAAGTATATTCAAATACAGGAATTCATACGTACACAAAATATTAAATCAAGCGATATAGCACGATGTGAATTACTTAAGCAGATCTGTCTGAATGTTGTTGTAGTAAATTGATAGTGAAGTTTAATAAGACAGTGATAATAAATTAATAGCTTAATTTAGAACAAAATGTTCACAAAGTGTACAGAATTCTCAGCATAATTTATTGCATAATATTTTCTCCTCGTATAGGATCTTCAAGTAAAGTAGCAATCTATAGTATATCTTGTGAAGCAATGTGAAGCAACTCTAACAAAGCTTTTAAAGTTATTAATCGTATATCGCCCAACTTCTCACATGGTATATGAGTACGAATTTTACATACAGCAGAGGGAATCAGAATTCATCTGAACAAGCCAAATCTGAGCATCCTGTCTATACGCAGCTCTCTCCTTGCATTTCATCTGGTAGAACTAGAAGCACCTATAGGAGGCTATATGCTAGGACTACCAAGTACAAAAACTCCACAATACCATATCTGGCACAGCTGTTATATGATGAGAAATCCGTTAGGTATGACACGATGAACTTATTGCGGCACTCTAACAAATAGTCCCATTAGTTTTTGTTTTCCTTTCTTCGTTACTATTACACTGTTGTTCACATCTTCTATTACACACTAATTTTATATTTCATATCCTGTGGTGCATTGTTTAAAATGTAAACGCAGTGCTGTTCTTTTTAGTTTTTTTATTTCTCTTTTTCTGGGTGTTGCTTTTTGATTTCGAAATCTTATAAAATTTATGAGGTAATTAGATGCAATATTGTAATGCACGCTGAAAATTCCATACCTGTACCATAAATACTGTTTGGAATAAAGCTGTTATTATTATTAAATTTGTACAGACCCTTTCTTTGCCATGACCAACTACATGATATGTATTAAGTTTTTAAAAACGATTTTCCCCTCTCCTTGTAAGTATGCAACTTTTACAATTCTAGCTAATTCTATTAACTTGTTTTTATTTCACGTAATGCTTCTGAGTCATCCTATTCTTCTTAGTCATCAGTATTTTACAAATTTCTTGATTATCTAATAACTTGTTGCTAAAGCCTAAGAATCAACCTATCTTGAATTCCGTAATTAATTACTTTCACCCCTCTTTTAAAACTTAGATATCTTGTTACTAATGCCTATTAGTTATTTGTTTTGATGACAGTTAACCTCTTGATTTCACCCCTCCTTTATTTCTACAACCGATTAATTAAAATAACCATCTGATTGGTAAACATTTTGATGTAAAATCCTATACATTATTGCAGAGCCAGCCGATGATGAGTAACTAAATGAAAAGGAACATATTTCTTCGCACAATCTGGTGTTTTTTCTAAATGCATAAATGGGGATTTGGAAATTAATAAATATCTCAACACCAGACCAGACTTCGGGACACATGGGTTTTTGGGATTGTTTGCTCCCTTCCACACCACCTACAATACTGAACAACATACCTTTATCGATTATGTCATCTAATTTTATAAGTAAGTCTAGTACCAAGATTCATTTATTTTCTGTATTCTTAAAAGTTGTTGCAACCATTAACTTTTAATTATTTCAGTGTGATTTTCTATCTTCTCTTCAATAGATAGTTTACAACATTTTCTCCCCACTCATCATTGGTTTTTGTATTCTTTTTTGACACCATACAACGCATAAATACAAGCATAACTGTCAGCTAAACAGCTGGTGAGAAAGTCATCTATATCAAGTTTTTAGTGGTAACTGTCGCACAGAAGAATTTACAGAAGTTCTATTAAACAGTCATAGTGAGTTGTAAGGGCAGTCGAAGACAGATTACAATGATCGATAATCATACTTTTTAGTGAACTGGCATTGAGTGCAAAGTCAGTCTGATGGACAAATGATTATTCGATAGTTAATTTTGCAATTTATTACTTTGAGAAAATATTGTCCCAGTCCATAAAGAATTTTGAGTTTGTCTGAGATTTACTCATATCATTTAGTGGTTTTCTAATCAGAAACCAGAAAATGTGGAGTGAATGTAATTAGAAATGAGACTGGACGTTCATATTTAGCAAATTTAGTACAACTTTGTTAGACATTAAACTGTGAGAAACAAGATAATTTCTGCTGTTATATCTCGACAATGGGTTTTCATAGTGAAATTCTCTGGAAAGAACCTGAATGGTATTCAGTTATTTATGAAATGACTTAACAATACACCTTCAAGCAATATCATGCAACTGCGAGAAAAGTGTCCAATATACTCCATACACTACTGACCTGTCAGCTTTCTGTTTTAAATATAATATACTTCATATTACCATAACGTATAACAACAATCAGAAATTGTCAGGAGTTCAAGTTATCAGTTCACCAAGCGTTTCTCTACGTAGTGGCTTGTAGGGTATGAAACTATGAAATAAGCTAATAATTTTATTCAACGGTCATTTGATAAAAAATAAACCAGACTGAAGTTTAATTCAATTTTAGATTTCCCCGTTGATTGATCGGACCTTAGTGGTTGGCCTCAGGTTGACATGTCGGCTTCTTACGCAGTTGCTCCGACGATGTCTAGGCCTGTAATTAGAAGATAATTGGTGGATGGTCACTAGCAGGATGAGCAAAAGAGGTGGCCCTCATGTCCCACCAAGTGGTCCAGTGTATAACGCTTTGGGGTTTGAAACTATGCGCACCGGGTTTGAGCATCGGCAGGTACGTCAACACTCACTGCGGAATGCAGGTACGTCCATATGACTAGTCCCAATTAGGACGAAATGTGCATCCCGGACTCCGCTGCTAGTCATCATCCACCAATTAACTTCTAGAGTGAATTTTGTTCCTTAGACTATCTTATCTTTTACTTCTTGCTAAGGTCTTGAAGTATAAAATTTAAATTCGTACAATAAATTGTTTGAACTGCTTATGTGTTTGTCAAGGTTAACATTGTAAAAACAAGAATAATGAGGCGATAATTTCACACATTATATACACATATTCTGATGAAACATACTTTTAAAGGTACAATGATTTTGATGCTGGCTTTCATAAGTATGCATATATTATCTCTTGATACCACTGTGTACGTATTTACCTCACTGGTTTGATTAGACTGAGCAAAAACTGTGGTTATACTCTTGTCATAAACTAAAAGTTAAAAACATATCTTTCTTTGGAAAGACTTACCGTATAAGATCAGTGAAAACAACAAAACTCGTATGTGTTTTTTGTATCCCATGAACACATACATAAAGGATGATAGTGATCAATTTCGGAATTAATCGTTTAAGAAAATTTCGTTCGCATTTTCTGGTGTTGTTGATTGGTCAGTAGGTGTTGCTGATCTGATTGGTGTTCATGTTTATTTTTGTGTAATAAACTGCATACTTATAAGATGAGGATTTGAGTTACTCCCACTATCACACGCTAGTTCTTTGAGATATTTCAGTGAAAGTGAGATGTAAAACTCTCAACTTTTCTTAAATCACTGGTACATTTTCATTAGTTAATTGAATCCAACACAAGTTATCCAATGTAAAGTGGAAATTTGGTTGGTTTGAACTGTTTCAATTCCTTATCTAAGTCTGTCTGTGCATACTACCAAAGAAGGGGACTTTGAACGTACAAAACGGTCTCCAGCTGCTTATATGACTATGCCTGTTCTGTTGAGTGGTCTCCAGTTGTTCATATCAATCAGTAGTATGTATCATTATGCTGTTTAAAATGGAACTAGAGTTTAGAAGCGTACTGGTTACTAAAAGACATTCATTTTCAGTAATTTACGTATAAATTTCACACTAACGGTTTAAATTTCAGACAAATATTACCATCATTGATTTACTATCTGAAAAGTTAATTCTTCCATGGTGAATTTACCTGTAAATATCCCCATCATTAATATTGGGACAAGACATTTAAGCGAACAATATTGTTTTCAATAAAATCCTCTCTAGGCTTTACTTTAATTTACATAGCTTTACATATAGAAAATTTAACCAATGACGGTGAGTTTGTGGATAAGATATTAATAATAACAAGTGTTAGATTTTTTAAGCGTCAGTAATAACGACGATTATAATGATAACAAGGATTATGCGGGTGGCAATAAGAATAACGAAGGTAGTAATGTATGTATATGTAGACAATCAATAGATATATTGGGTCAAATATTAAAATTTACGTAATACTAAAAATGAAGTAGGCAGATAATCAGAGTTTAAATAAATATCATAAAAACACGAAGGAAATGGAAATTAAGAAAGGATGGGAGGTTTTGAAGTTAAAATTTACCTAGGCAAGCAAGGGTAAGACAAAAGTAGAACAAACTTCTTTTGCATGCAAAGACTAGGATTGTTCCGTCGAACCACCAAAACTCCAGGTATGTAAAAGGCAGGTTCGAATTACGTTCGAAAGCTTCAATAGAATGCGACAGATGACTTTGAAGGCATTTCATCTGTCCGCTTGGTGACCACTATCATGAATCAAATGAGACAAAATAGAACTTCCTACAGATTTTATTTGGCCTTTTCTTAACTATGAAGGAAGGTGCTCAGCAATACGTATGTTGAGCTGTCTAGTTACTCGCCCTATATAGCTTTCTCCACAGGAGCAGCTAAATTTGTAAATGCGCATAGAAATGACACAGCTAGGTAGCTTGTCTTTCACTTGAGCAATGACAATTGGCCGGCTGGAAAATAACAAACAAAGGGTGGTGGCAGTATAAGTCCGTAGTGAAAAAACCCTGTGTCCACTTGAGTTACAGTCACATCGAAGTTTTGTGAGACATTTTGTTTGTTTCATACAACTGGCTCCCCTGATAAATTTCGATAAAGAAAGGAAGACGAAATTTGCAGTCTAAAATGATATCATTCTATTTCACAGGTTCTCATCAACTGCAGACTACTTGAAATTAAAATGGTTATATAAATGATAATAACATACTTTAATGTTTGAGTGGTAGTAGAGAAGAGATAAAATTGACGCATCCAAAATGAAAGCATTACAAGTGTTTAGTTTAAGTTTTCACCATCAATTTATACGCTTTTAAAGTTGAAAAGAGGTGGAGGGGTAAGACAGAAAACAGAAAAAATTGATTAACAGAACAGTGTTAGCTTGTAGGTTCACATAGCAACTCAAAAAACAAAAGATTAAGATTTGTTCAGTGAGTTGAGATCACTGAATTAGTTGACTAATTATTGTAATCAAAATCAAACTTCAGTTACCAAGGGAGTGAGGGGTTAGTCACACTGGTCTGGTCTAAGATCGCAATCAAACGATTTAAACCAGACTTATACAGAAAGAGAGTGTGACTAACCTCTCACTCCCTTGGTAACTGAAGTTTGATTTTGATTACAATAATTAGTCAACTAATTCAGTGATCTCAACTCACTGAACAAATCTTAATCTTTTGTTTTTTGAGTTGCTATGTGAACCTACAAGCTAACACTGTTCTGTTAATCAATTTTTTCTGTTTTCTGTCTTACCCCTCCACCTCTTTTCAACTTTAAAAGCGTATAAATTGATGGTGAAAACTTAAACTAAACACTTGTAATGCTTTCATTTTGGATGCGTCAATTTTATCTCTTCTCTACTACCACTCAAACATTAAAGTATGTTATTATCATTTATATAACCATTTTAATTTCAAGTAGTCTGCAGTTGATGAGAACCTGTGAAATAGAATGATATCATTTTAGACTGCAAATTTCGTCTTCCTTTCTTTATCGAGATTTTGTTTGCTATTTATAAAAAATGAAATAAATGCATGACAGCATTCCATATGTATCTTTGTTCATCTTAACTTGGTATTTGGAAAGAAGGCGAAAACTTGTTAGTTTAAAAGATAAATAACATGACGTTCATCGTCACTGACACTCGAAGCTTTACAAATTACTGTATTGGTGAGTAGACGATTAATAAGCACAGTAATTTAAATGAATGCACAAACCACTAGTAAAGCGCCAGTGATTGGTTATTCATTTAGAGACGTATTACAGTGCTTGTATCCTTTATTCTAAACTTTAGATAGCCAATTTGTTGATTCTAGATAAATGTATATGTATGTATATGTTTTCAGATACCAGCCTTCGGTGTTCTGGTATGTTTTGAACCGAATCTTTTGTATTAGCAGTCTTGAAATTTATTATGCCTTGATGAATCGTTCTTCAAAGTTTTAACGCCTCATATTTTGAAAGCAACCTCCCAGTAGTCACAAGTTTAGTATACGCACAATGCATACTAATATAACAGATTACTTAAGAAAATTTTACTTATTCAATGCTTTAGCGCTTAATATATTTTAAATAAAATGCATTCATGATGTGACCAATTCCTAAATATAATAATGAAAGCTCATAAATTATGACAACAAAAGTTACAAAAGCTATACATAATATGCCACCTCGAATTTAAATTTCATTCATACATGTGTCAATGTCTATTAGTGATCAGTGTTTCTTGACGCTGTCATTAAGAAAGAGCCGGCAACACAAAGTATCACTCCTGAGTTGAATTGTATAGGAGGATGTGAAAAAACTGGTGTAGATACTTTAGGCGGGAAGAGGAGATAGGACAGGGAAGGGATAAGTTTTGACACCTGAAAGCTAACAGAGGGAAGACATATAGTGAAGCAGTAAATGACACAGTGCAGGGATGAATACTGAAAACAGAAACTCAGCGTAACCCCTAATGTGTTAAATAAAGGTGAGAAGGAGAGCGCTAAGAAGGATAGACGACTGTTTTGGGGCGAACCGGTAAATAAAAAAATCAGGCAGAACATAAAAGAGACCTCACAAAATTATTTTATATAATGAAATCGTCACCTTGGAAGAGGTCAGTGCGGATAAGGACAGGGAAGGATACTGAAGAGAATCTAAGGGTTATTGAATCAATCATCACCTGAAGCTTGTTCAGAAGAGCTACCAAGAGACATAGAACTACCACTGAACACCAACTTTCCGATACAAAGAGAAGTTGTGGAGGTTATAAAGATACCGAAAGCCGATAAAGGAGAAGAACTACTTAGAATCCCCCCAATAAAACTGAAAACGAACTCAGAGGCCATAGCGGATGTACCCACTAATACTGCAAACGGTTTGAAAGAGGGTAAATACACCTGCTGATCGGAAGGAAACCTACCGTGTCAAACTGACAAAGACAACCAACCTAACCCCGTGTAAGAAGAAGCTAGGAATTATGTGCCTGCCAACCGAAAGCAAAATATTAGGTCTCATCATCTTAGATGCGAAACTGCCCCCCCCCCATAGGAATGGGCTGAATTCAGGAGAAGCGAATCATGTGCGGAGCAAACTGCAACACTGCGCATCGCCATCGAACTGAGCGGTTAACGCTGCGACTTAACCACGTCCGCTTTTAAACAGCCTTCAATGGCGATGAACGCGAAGTATTCTGGCACCTACCATAAAAAAGCATATAAACTTCATTCAACAACTGTATAATGATGCCAAACGCAATGTGATTCACAATGGAAAACTTAACGAAGCCTTTGGAATGAAGACAGGAAGAAGATTGGGTTATCTACTGACACCAATGATATTCCCGATTGTGATGGACTGGATCATGTGGCAAACCGTGGGAAATGAGAAGACAGACATATCATGGACTCGTAAAAAGAGCTCAGCTGATATCGGTTGTCCCATTTCCTACAAACTCGAAGATCCACAGACAAAACCAACAAGCTGGTAGGAGAGACAGTCACTGATAACGGAAATTCATTTAAACATTGAGAAGACAGTAACGGTAAAGATTCAAGCGCGGAATCCCGTCCTCGAGAGGAATCTATGGGAAGTTTTCTTTCACTTTGTCTCAACTACAGTTAATGTGGATGAGTATGTCAAATCCAGTAAGGACTGAGGAAGCAAGTCGGTGCAATCAGCATGCAGCTCTATAGAATTAACAACAGTTAACTGGATTCGAATGTTTAAAATTACCCTCAAGTTAGTGTGTCTGTATGGTTCAGTGACTTGTCAGATCATCAAAAGTCTCTCCAAAAGATTGCAGGTTTCATCAACAGCTTTCTTCCCTGGCCCCGTAATGAAGACCACATGGCCAGGAAGGATAAGTGAGAAAGAGTTCTAGTAGAGAAGTATCCAAGAACCTGTTACTGAACAAAAATACAGCTAGCAATTGAGATAGATTGCACATAAACTGAAGAGATGTTGAAGTGGTATCAAGTATCAGACAGGGCGCTAATTGGAACACTAGTGCGAAATAACAAAGTGGACTTCCGAA